ATAAACCTATCTGAGTTATTATGGAAATAAATTTAAAACTCACTCATTAAATTATATCTTACCTTTTGTTATTTCACCTAAAATGTATCAAATCCTTCACTCTGTTGAACACCCCATTGTCCCAATCATTTACTTGTATTTTAGTGAGACTACGGAAAGAAATTCAGGGACTCCCACTTTTTTAGATGTGACATCCGTAACACAAACATACATACATAAATGCGGATGACGGCTCCGTGGTGCAGTGGCTTAGCAATGAGCTGCAGCGCTGGGGGCTGCGGGTTCAAATCTAATAACTTAAATCTTCAGGTAATGATTCATATTCCGAAAATTCATCATCGTCGACGCTTTCCAAAATGCGAATGAGTTCTGAGGAATCGTTCATGTTTTTCCGTTAATCGCTTATGACGTCATCAGGGTGTCGTCTATCCTTGACCACGGCACCCAGTGAACAGATTTTCGATGACGCGCTAAGGATGCGCCAGAGTTGAGATATTAGATTTATTATGCGAAGATGATTTGATAACATTTTTTTTATTCATGTAGCTAATTATAGTTTTATGTTTCTAACCTTTTGTTTTATTCAAATTTCAATAATAATAGAAAAAAATAACACGTTTGAACTGAGTTTTGGATAGTTTTCAAGAAATCCTTGCCTCCCGCGTACGACACTAGCGGTCAACCATAGACGACTTAGGCGTGCTGGACATAGTATTTGCTAAGAGAAAAATCCATTTTTTTTTAGTTCAATGTTTCTTAGTACTTATGGCTCTAGGCGACTTGTTTTTTATACTCACATGTTGCTGGGTTATTCTTTTTTAAGGAGTGTAGAATTAAAATACCAGTAATAATTTTCCAATATCTATATTTCATATTTTTGTGGGCCGGCTTTTTGTCAACTATAGACGTCGTTGGCGCTCAGGGCTCGTAGGTGCTGGTCAAGTATAGGCGAGTTTGGCGGTCAAAAGGTACTTCTTTGTCAAAATTACTATTTCTTCAACCAATCGGCAAAAATATTGGACTATAACAAATGAACTAGATATTTGTGAACTTTATCCAATTTTTTTTTTATTACTGTTTTACACTACATTTAATTTCTTATATTTCATTAATTATAAACCATAAACAACATGACAATTTTATTATTCATGTAATTCTAAGCTATTAAATACATGTTTTAACAATGGTAGAGCCACGCGGCAGCTTTTGTTGTCGCACGGATGGGCCGGCTCGAACCGGGGTGGTACGACGACCTCACAGAATACCAGCGTGAAGTAGAGGTTTACCTCTGCGTTTCGCTTGGTGAGTGCAGGTGGCCGGAGGCCCTTTTTACTGGAAATGAGGCATTCCATCTTAGTCCTCACGGGTGAAAACGCATCTGCATTTTGATTTGTAATAGAGGATAGATGTAGATGTCTATGGGTCGCAGCAACCACTTACCATCAGGTGGACAGTGTGCTCGTTTGTCACCCTTATCTTATAAAAAAATGTTTAAAAAATATCGATAATGGCCAACATCGATGTTTTGAGTAGGATAAACATCGATGTTGAGCTATCGACGTCAACATTGATGTTTCTACAACATCGATCATCCCTAATGGACATTTGACATCATAGGTTTGACATTTACGTTTTACGCCATAGTTTTACGGTTGCCCAAATTATGGCCGTCAACACCGTCCCGTTTCACACTTTTTACATCGGTTTTTGACATCTAATCCATTCATGTTATTCCCAATTATATTCAAATACATTCCGGCACAAATAGTCGAGCGGCCAGTATTGCTATTTCTAAAGCTCAGAACATTTGGCTGAGAAGGGTTGTCGTTGGTTTTCCAATAAAGATAATTTAAAAATCCACCTTAAAGTATTATACTCTGTACTTTCATATAAATTACATAATATTGAATTTGATATTTTGGATGGGAAAGCCGGAGAACTTGCTTCAATGGCTGTTTACGAGAAATATCAAATTCAGTCCCGTAAATTACAACGACTTGTATCCTCTTTATCCCGTAATCGTAATAACGACATACATACAGAATATCACCAATTTTATCCCCGAGTTAAAAATCTTTCCGATGTCTAGTTTCCAACAGATGAGTTCTGCCTTTTACATAAAGGCCTAAAGTATAATTTAACACCTTCGGTCTCCCAAAAATCGTTAGACTGTGGCCGTTGACGCGGAGATGGCTGTCGTGATCGGGAAAAAATATAACATCGTTAAAAGTTTAATAGCTAATGAAATTCGGGCTGTGCCCGCGCCTTCCCATTTCAATCCTGAGTTCCCTGTTTTTAAGTCACTAAGGCAGAGAATAAGGGAAAACGACCTTGTTGTTACTAAAGCTGATAAGGGCAATACTGTAGTCATTATGGAGAGTAGCGGGTACAGCCGGAAAGTTAACGATGTTATCCAAGGTGATGACTTTGAGCTATTAGAGTCTGACCCAACCAAAAAGTTTACTTCGGATATTAAGCTATGTATACAACAGTCATCACATGTTTTTCCCGATCACAACTTGTCTCGGAGCAGTCTTGTTCCAATGAATCCTCAAGCACCCATTTTATATAGGTTACAATAATACATAAAGAACATGTTCCTATTCGTCCAGTTATCTCATATATAGGGGCACCAGCTTATTTCCTTGCTAAAAAATTAAACTTCCTCCTTCGAGAGAAATCTGGATTCAACCCCACTTACAGCCTTAAAAATAGCTTAGATCTCATTTCCAAAATTAAAGATATTCGTATTCCTCCTAAATCCATATTGTGATCTTTACACGTTGATAGTCTTTTCACAAATGTCCCATCCCCTGACTGTTTGCGTATACTCGCAGATCTCTTTGATAAACGTCGTCTACATCCCGGGGAAACAAATGATCTTCTTAACTTAACCTCTCTTTGTATGAAACAAAACTATTTCTGGTTTAATAACCGTTTCTATCTACAAAAAGTAGGGTTAGCTATGGGGTCCCCTCTAAGTCCCCTTATGCCGGACATTTTCATGGATAATTTCGAAAAACAACATTTAGTTGTCAATCAAAATATGTATATGTGTCGATATGTAGATGACATAAGTATTTGCTGGACTGACACAAGGAGACAACGGGATGTTTTCCTCAATAAAATAAATAGAGTCCACGACAAAATTAAATTTCAACTTGAATTGGAACAAGATTGTTCCCTTAATTTCCTAGACTTAACAATAACAAGAAAAGAATCGTCAAATGTTTTCCAAATTTGTCGAAAGCCAACTCATACCGACACGGTTATCCCCGCGTCATCGTGTCATCCGTGGCAACATAAATTAGCCGCTTTTCATTGTTACATCAATCGTTTGTTCACTGTCCCATTAAGTAAAGAAAATTATTTAAAAGCGGTTAATATAATTTATCAAATAGCGGTCTCTAACGGTTTTTCAAAAAATCTCATTAACAATTTTGATTAAAAAGAAACAAAAGCATGTTGTTCACAACTCTCTGTACGTGGTTCAACCTCAAAGTGTTCGTCGATATGTGAACAGTTTGACCTACTTATGCCCCATATCTGAAAAAGTAGCTAATACTCTTCGACAAAACGGCGTTTATGTGGCATTCAAAACAAACAATTCTCTTAGAAATATCTGTAATAATAAAGATAAGTTGGATATTCGTCAAAAGTCGGGTGTTTACAAACTTCTTTGTGACGAATGCCACGCCGTTTACGTGGGTCGGACTGGTCGCAACTTCGAAACTTCGTTATAAAGAGCATTTAGCCGCGTACAAGAATTGCAATCGCGATAAATCCCATTTTGCTAAACATCTTTTGGACACTGGACACAACCTAACCAACGACCACTCCTTTAAAGTCTTACATACGTGTAATAAAGGGCTGCGACTGTGTGTGCTGGAACAGTTAGAGATATTAAAAAGTAATAATAGTGACGTTGCACTGCTGAATGAACAAACAAATGTTTCTAAGTCACCTCTCTTAAATATCTTTAAGCCTGCTCTATAATAGCAGAAAGCCTCGCAATATGATCGTTTGTCACCCTCACGCGTGATCGGCGATTGGTTGCGTGGTTGGAGGGTAGGCGGGCGTTGCGCGTAGGTTTTTTTTTAATTTTACAAACGGCTGCGTAAGTCCGGCGGTGATTGGTTGCATGTTTTATCGCATGACGCGGTCGCTTGCTCCTTAAGCAGGGAGCGGTTGCGTCAGCCGTCTGTATGAAAGGCAGTTGTTTTGGCTCACCGCTCACTTAACGGTCAGCCACCGCAGTCTACATCACCTGAGGATGCCTCGTGTAGAGGCGAAACACGTGTCGTATTGTCGTCAGTGGTGTGTCTTTCCTAGTGTAGTGGTGTTGGGAGTAGTGGTGCTGGGTTTAGTGGTGACGGGGATAGTGCACGCAATTAAGGGAGGGCGGTAGGTGCTTTTCATACTAGGTAAGACACATCATTTTAGTTTATAAAGCGGATTTTTGCGAAGTTAAAATAAATATTTAAAAGGTTTACCTATGTGAAGCAATAAACTTGAGGAACAAGGCTCTGGTGACTGACAAATTAAATTATAGCTATTGGGAACTACAGGTCCCTCATCCAACATACATGTGATGGGAAATACAGTAATCTCAGCATGTAAATTGACAGTAATTTCAGCATCAACAATTCACATGCCTAGTTAAGAGAGTATGAGCAAAATTTTAAAGATATACCATTGGTGAACTTGAAAATACCTTTATCCAGTAGTGGAAAAATTTGTCCTAGATATAGTAAACAGTCCAGTTAATATTTTTATATTATGTTATTTAACTATAAACACACAATAGATTATAGTACAAGTACTATAAGCTCATGTAACAGGCTCACCTTAGAGGATGCATAAAGGCAGGGAAGGGATATTAACAGAAAAATTAATATTTCCAAAGTATCTTTTATGCTAAGAAAAACCAGAAATGTAATGATTTTTTTAATAGATCGATAAATAAAAAGTAATAATAATTATAAGTTCATCAAATTCACCTATGCTAAAGTAGTCTTAAATAGTTTAAACTTGCTAACAAACTTTTTTACTTCCTCTTTAGGATATGGCTTAAGCGCTAAACAAGTGGGTATGTTTTCTGGTTGTTCAATCCACAATTTATAGTCTATAGAATTTTCCTTTAATTTTTCTGCTATTTTTCTTAAGGACTCTTCATTTGGTATCTGAAATGATTTGAAACAAATATTTCAATAATAGTATGCCCAATTAATCTCTAATAACTACATAATAGAATTTTTAAATACCAATTCCCACTATATTCTTTAATTTTAAAATAACCTTTTTACACAGCTTTTGTTTGATAAATAATTTAAACTTTTTGATCTAAAAGTACATGCCATCAGTATTTCATTCATGGGGCAAAGTCAATTAGACCTAATAATTTTGTGGTCACCAGATGTCGCTAGTTGACACTGAGGTAAAGTTTTTTGTTACACATCATCATCATCATTACAGCCTTTCACAAGTCCACTGCTGAACATAGGCCTCCCCCAAGGAATGCCACAAAGCACGGTCCTGAGCCACCTGTATCCATCGACTTCCTGCATGTCTTACCAGGTCGTCACTCCATCTCGTGGGGAGTCGCTCTACACTTCGCCTACCGGTACGAGGCTGCCACTCAAAAACCTTTCTTCCCCATCGGTTGTCGATTCTTCGAGCTATATGGCCGGCCCACTGCCACTTCAGCTTACTAATCCGTTGTGCTATGTCGGTTACTCTGGTTCTACTGCGGATATACTCATTTCTAAGTTTATCACGCAGAGAAACCCCGGGCATAGCCCTCTCTGAGCTTCCTCATACGGCCAGCAGTGAAGGACCACGTCTCAGATCCGTAAGTCATCACTGGCAACACGCACTGGTTGTACAATTTCGTTTTAAGGTTTTGAGGTATGTCTGACGAGAAGATGTGTCGTAGTTTCCCGAACGCTGCTCAGCCGAGTTGAATCCATCGATTGACCTCTCGGTCGAAGTTGGACTTACCTAGTCGGACTATTTGTTCCAGGTAAACATACTCGTCAACAACTTCGAGCTTAGTGCTCCCAACAACTACCGGCATAGGTGTGACATGGACATTAAACATGATCTTTGTTTTGTCCATGTTCATCCTAAGACTGATTCGTTGGCAGACACTATTAAGGTCATTGAGCATGGTGCTTAGGTCCTCCAGCGATTCTGCCATAAGGACTATATCGTCGGCAAAGCGAAGGTGAGTGATGTACTCGCCATTGATGTTAATACCGTATCCTTTCCAGTCCAGAAGCTTGAAAGTGTCTTCCAATGCAGCGGTGACGAGTTTCGGGGATATAACATCACCCTGTCTTCCACCTCTCTGCAATTGGATAGGTTTCGTACTCTGGTTCTGTACTCAGATAGCCATCGTAGCTCTACTGTACAAACACTTCAGCACTTCGATATACCAACAATCAACTTGGCACCGCTGAAGGGACTGAAGCACCACCCAAATTTCGACGGAATCATAGGCTTTCTCATAGTCCACATACGCCAGACATAGTGGCAAATTGTACTCCTCGGACTTCTGTACAATTTGCCGAAGGGTATGTATGTGGACTCTAAAGCCCTTTCGGAAACCGGCTTGTACGGGAGGCTGGAAGTCGTCAAGTCTGCGCGCGAGACGATTCGTAATGACTCTCGAAAACAGCACGTAGACGCGGCTCAGAAGGGAAATCGGTCTGTAGTTCTTCCAGAGAGCGTTGTCACCTTTCTTGAAGAACAAGACCACCGCACTTCTGCTCCACGCCTCGGTGTAATGCCACCATGGTGGACGGAATTAAAGAGCTTCTGAAGGACTTCAAGTACCGCTCTTCCACCCGTTTTCAGAAGCTCCGCTGTAATTCCATCCTCGCCTGGGGCCTTGCCGTTTTTTAGGTGCTGGAGAGCCATTCTAATCTCGCTCAGACTGACGTCCGGGATATCTTCGGAATAGTGTCGGATAAGACTCGCTCTTGGATCGTTACTCACACTTGCGTTTGGCTCCAACGATGACGTGTACAGCTGCCCATAGAACCTCTCAATCTCACTCAAAATCTCAGGTGCCCCAGAAACGATGCTGCCACACTCGGTCTTCAGCTTTGACAGTTGGCTCTTTCTGGCGGACAGATCTCTGGCAAAGATTTTGGAGCCTTGGTTCCGCTCGATCGCTTCTTCAATACGAGCTGTATTGAAGTTTTTTGTTCCACAATGTAATTTAATTGAGAAGTAATGGTTTTTAATAAAAATTTATCAGTTTCTAGAGTATTATATTAATACACAAAACAATGTCCCAGTGGTTTGCTCTTTAATTGTTTGCGGCATGATATCTTAACTCATAAACTGAAATTTTACGGATTTGAAGGAAAAGAATTGAGTATAATGCAGTCTTATCTTAACAATCGAATTCGAATAGTTAATTTAAATAATACTATTTCCGATCCACAACATAGTTACATTGGCGTACCGCAGGGCTCCATTCTGGAATCATTGCCGTTTTTAGTTTACGTGAATGATCTCGCAAAAAATTTACCTGACTGGGCGATGGTTACACTATTTGCGGAATATACACAAGTTGGTATTAAAGATAAAAACGAATTTCAAGTAGCCAAGAAGACAGATGTAATTTGAAGTATACTTAGAAAATGGTTTGAAGCAAACGGAATAATTTTGAATGCAGAAAAAAGTACCATAATTAATTATGCAGGCAAAAAAGCAAATAAAGTCACAAATAGTGAAGTTACATTTTTAGGGTGTACTCTCGATTCCACTTTAAGTTGTGAAACCCGTATAGATAATGTTTGTAAAAAGTTATCCAGTGCAAATTACGTCTTATTTAAGCTTAAGCCCATTATTGACATGAAAACTCTAATATCCGTCTATTTTGCAAATTGTCACTCAATTATTAGCTACGCGATTACGATATGGGGTAATGCTTCACAAATTGAAAGAGTACTGATTTGTCAAAAAAGGTCGATTAGAGTTATAAATGGATTGCAAAGATTGAGATCAGCAAGAGCCTATTTCCAAAAAGCGAAAATCATGACTGTCGTGTCGTTGTATATTTATAGTTCGCTTCTGGAAGTGCACCAGCAAAAAAGTGAACTATCAATGAAGATGCATGTACACAAGTACAATTTAAGAAATAGCAAAAGATTAGTTGTTCCAAGAAGCAGATTAGTCAAAGCGTTCAAGCAAGGTCTTCCACTAAAAATCAAAATGTAAAATAAATTGCCTTTAGAAATAACAAGACTTCCATTAAACACATTTTGACAAGTGACAAAAACATTTTTTTTGAATCATGCTTTCTATAATATAGAAGAATATATAAAATGTTCATTTTCTGACTTGCATAACATGTAAAATAATGTAAATGTAAATGTATATTAATTTGTGATTTTAATAATTTAGTGTAATTTTATATCATTTGAATTGTAATTTTGTAACAATTAATTTTTTTTTAATTTTTTTAATTTTTTTTTAATTTTGATATTTTTTAGGAATATCTGTGGTTTGGATAATTTATTTTTAATCTTATTAATATAAAATATAGCTAATAGTATGTACAGAAAGAAACATTACATTTAGATTTTCCGAACAACTTAACTTCCCTGCTATAACATCTGTCAAATATTACCTCACTTTTTAAGTGGCGCCGCCCTGTTGGCAGAAAACGTAGTGGATGATCTAATTACTACTTTTATGACTACTTTTCTGTATTGGAGTCCATCTGGGTACATACCACCCTCTTAAATATTTCTGCCACCTAAGCCAATTTGTTCAAGGCAAGTGATGCTGGTGCGAACGTTATGCCAGTGTGTAATGCATGCCGTACTACGCACTTGCAAGTGATGCCGGTGAGAACTATGAGCCGGAGCAAGTGCCAGGGATTGCCTTGTAGTCTGCGGCGAGTCGAGAAGAAGGCAAGTAATCTGCGAGAGTACCATGAAGCAGAGGCGAGCAATAAGGCTCAGAGCCTTGCCTAACACTGTAATGCAGAGAGTAGCTTAAACGGACAGGAAGCATTATTATTCCAGTGCTGCGATGAACCTTTGTAAAGCTAGATGGCTTGCAGAATGTGAAGAATGTACTTGAGGATGATGACATAGGTTTTGAAGTTGTAGTTTCTGAAGGTTATTGGTTGCGCGTTCAGATCACGTTTTAGATCTCAGGAGTGACATCACATTTACAATTTTTTTCTTTATAGTATTGATTTAAATTTAAAACATTTACAATGTATGTCTATTGGCCACAGCATTCACTAACCATGAGGCAGATTATGTCCTCATTCATCACTCTTGTTCTATTAAAAATGATGAAAGGTTTGTGAAAGGCTACTTAATATATTTAAATGAATGAAATATACTTTAAGTTACACCAGAAAAATTGTAAGAGAAAAAAAAACAACAAATTATAAAGTACAATGGGCACCCTTATTGCTTACAAGCTATCTCTATCAAGCAACCACAATACTTTCTGACTTTTATTTTTTCTGTAAGACCCCTTTTCATTGAAGTTATAAATTCCTCTCTTATGCAATACAAATTAATATAGTTTCTCTATCCTTGTTTTCCTAAAGCAAGATTCCATACAATATGCTATGGAAATAACTAAAATAAATTACATTAGCTGGTTCACTGCCGGTAAGACTTCTATCATTTAACAGCTTATGCTGTGGAGATAAGATGTTAGGTAGTTAGATGAGATATATAGGGGTCCAACTAAAGCTGTTATTTTTTGTAAGTCCAACTTTGACCGAGAGGTCAATCGACGGATTCAACTCGACTGGGCAGCGTTCGGGAAATTACGGCACATATTCTCGTCAGGTATACCTCAGAACTTGAAAACAAGACTGTACAACCGATGCGTGTTGCTAGTGATGATCACATTCTACTTAGATAAAAATCTTGTAAACAAAGTTTTAATTTCAATATTTTGTGTTATTATAACTTAAAATATTTTAATTACAAAAGACAAGTATAGGTATGTAAATAGGTACTTGGGTAGTGAAGTTTTTTTTTATTTACTATTCTTTTAATTTTGATTATTCCGTATTGTAAATTGTAATTATAACCACAGAATAAATAATAGTTATAACATTAAATAATATATATATACTTAGCTTACTTCTAATACAACTTTATGCATGTTGTCTAAGTCATTCATATATTGTACAGTATATTCGTCGTCTTTAAATATATGTAATACAGCTGACGACGCATGGCACGCCTGTGCTACTAAAGCCCCAATGGACCATCCCAGATCCTTCAATAAATCACTTCGAAGTAATATGTATTGAACTACTGTACTTGTCATTATGAAAATCAAATCAATCAACAACAACACAGAAACACATTAATACTTTTACATTTTTACAAATCAACAATGTTGTAGGGATGATCGATGATCATCGATGACAAAAATGAAAACATCGATGTTGCCACATGTCAAACATCGAAACATCGATGTCAATAAACCCATAATCGATTATTGGGCACTTGCGAAAACTGCGAACCCGCAAAATCAATATCAACTGAATCTTGCATCTCCTCTAAAATATTTAAAATTTTGAATCATTGAACGCATCGATAACCTAAAAATATATCATTATCACCATAATAATATATTTTTAGGTAATTTATCCGTTTGCCTGACAGTTAAATTTGATACACCTATCATATTTAACTGTCAAATGTGAACAGTAATGTCGCAGTTGTCACTGATTTCGTTTTGTTATTGGAGTGGTTGTTGGTTGTCAGTTTCTTTGTCAGTTGTTTTTGAAAAAATCCGATGGTTAATCTTAAACACGATCCAATGCATGTTTAGAACAATATTATTGGTTCTCCCTATCTAAAATTGAAAAAAAATAATTCGGTGAGGTATGTGACCACAATCGCTACATCAACGCCATCTTAGCGGTTATCTATCGACTTCAAAAAGGACCACTAAAATGTTGAATATTTCTTGTTGCAAAATAATGTATTATAATAAAAAAACCAGTTTGTTGGCACTTTATAATACTATTTAGGATTCCGTAGCCAAATTGGCAAAAAACGGAACCCTTATGGATTTGTCATGTCTGTCTGTCTGTCCATCCGAATGTCATAGCCCCTTTTTCCCGAAACTATAAGAACTATGCTGTTGAAACTTAGTAAGTAGATGTATTCTGTGTACCGCATTAAGATTTTCACACAAAAAGAGAAGAAAAAAAACAATAAATTTTGGGGGTTCCCCATACTTATAACTTAAACTTAAAAAAATTTTTTCATCAAACCCATACGTGTGGTGATGGATAGGTCTTCAAAAATGATATTGAGGTTTCTTATATAATTTTTTTCTAAACTGAATAGTTTGCAAGAGACACTTCCAAAGTGGTTCCCCCCCCCCTGTAACTTCTAAAATAAGAGAATGATAAAACTAATAAAAATATATGATATAAATTACTATGTAAACTTCCACCGAAAATTGATTTGGACGATATCTAGTGAGTAGTTTTTTTTAATACGTCATAAATCGTAAATTATGTTACTTGCTGCTACGGAACCCTTCATGGGCAAGTCCGACTTGCACCTGGCCGCTTTTTTTTATATTTAGTTTAATATAACAGACATATGTTTTAATAATAATTTATAATTGAGTATAGAAAGAGGCGTTGAGCCTGCAATTATGTTGTCAAAAGTCAAGAAAACTGTATGTTTTTTTAACGTGTGTTACCTCATAAATTTTTTCTGGGTTAATCGATATTGATGATTATTTTTTATTTTTTTATTTGAAAGCTGGTGCTTCATCATGTAGTCCCATATAAATTTGACCCATATGAGGCTGACTTTGACCCATTTGAGTTATCCCTAATAATTGACATTGAAGTCAGTTGTACAAAAAAATTATTTTTAAATTATTTTCAATAGCTGGTTTAACTCTTTATCAACCGAGAAACAGATTGAAAGGTACTTCTTTGTCAAAATTACTATTTCTTCAATCAATTGGCAAAAATATTGGACTATATAACAAATGAACTAAATATTTGTGAACTTCTTCCAATTTTTTTTATTCATCTAATTCTAACCTATTAAATACATGTCCATAAACATCGATAATTGCCAACATCGATGTTATAAGTTGGATAAACATCGAACATCGATGTTGAGCTATCGATGTCAACATCGATGTCATCATCGATGTTTCTACAACATCGATCATCCCTACAATGTTCATTGTTGTTGTTTTTATTATTCGCTCGAAAGAGCAGGCAAAGGAACTATGCCATACAGCCTTGTCTTTTTTATTTTGAATATATAGAATTTCACTGCTTCACAATATGTTGATGCGTCACATTGTGCAGCCTTTGGTAGATTTTGACGGCAACTTGAGCCAGCAGACAGCTGACAGTTGGCGATGGTATCTAAAGGCGCCTATGCAAACAAACAGAATCCATCACCATCAGAGCACTTGTTTCACCGTTTCATATCAAACACTTTTACGTATCAAATTCCACTTCAAACTATTATTTAAACTTTAATCCAGGAGCAGAAAACCGCTGCCGGTCAAGTTCCCGCCAAAACTCCCCTTAACCATAGATAAATATATATGTAGCTAGCTACCCTTAACAATGTTGATTTTTGAATCAAGGGGCTACTCCATGCGAACGACCTTGAGCATTTGACCGGCGCGCCGCTCGCTACAATACGACGCGCTGGAAGAAATATGTAAGACGCCACCTATTGTACGAAAGTAGTATTATTTTTTCAACATCAATAAACTATTTTATGGAAATACACATAGCGTACAAAGATAAATGTATTTTTTTTTTTTTATTCTGTATATATTAGTTGCATTATATTAGAATTATGTATTTTCATATATTATCTAATTATGAAATTTTATAATTAATTATATAAACGGAAGCATTGAAAATTGTGAGTTTAAAAGATACCTATTCACTATAGGTAAATAAATAGATAACTCGGCTTTTGTACAAATATTTGGTGCAATAAAAAATATATAAATACAAAAATCAACAAGAAGTATAAGGGTTCAATCTTTCAATTTCAGTTGTAAAAAAACGTTACACCCACACTAGGATTTTCTCCTGTGTCGTGAAGGCAGTTGACAAACATAAATTGCACAAAGACAAACATCCAGACCCGGAACAATTATTTGTAGGCCATACAAATCTTGTTCCATGCGGGATTCGAACCCGCGGCCCCCAGCGCAACAACATTGCTAAGCCACTGCGCCACCATGAAGCTAATACAAAGACTAACTTTGTATTTGCTTCATGGTCGCCGGGTTATAGCTAAAGTGACCATACGTCCCGTTTTGAACGGGACTGTCCCTTTTCTCGGTCTCCTGTCCCATTGTCCCCAAACAAAGCTCCGGGACACAAAATTGTCCCGTAACTCGTTGGATGGAAGTATTCAAAGTCAACAATCTTCAACATAATTTTTTTTAATCGAATATATTTTATGTCTACCTGGTACGAATGCTCCGGTAGAAAGAGTATTTTTTTATTTTGCATAAATTGTGGACGTCTGAAAGAAACACTTACGGTTCCAGAGTTCTAAAGGCGATGTTGTTAACAAAGATAACAATAAAAAACTTGAGCAGAATTTTATTCTTATTTAAAATCATCACCAACTTTATTAAAGCAAATTTAATCCATTGACAAATGTAATTAATAATTTAAAAAAAAAATGTTGCATTTAATAATTACCGTCTATACCGAATATAATTTTATAGTGAATACTAATTGTATAAAGTTACAGTTTTTAGAGTATAAATAAACCCATGTCCTGTTATGGGTTAAAAAATAAATGGTCAGCTTAGTCTTTTTAGTCAAATTTAGTTTTAAAAATTTTTAGTTTATAGTAAAAAGTAGGTATATTAGTACTTTTTACCGAGTTATAAGTATAGAACACCTTATGTACTCAATTATTTTTTGAAAAAGAAGAAAAAGCAAGCAATAAATAATATACTATATTTTAGCAAAAAACTATAACTTAGTAATACTAATTATAACTTAGAACATAAATGAAAAACTCATAACTGACTTTTTGGCCCGACCCAGGATTCGAACCCGGGACCTCATGATCAGCAGTCGCACTACTACAACCACTAGACCAACGAGGCAGTACTATATTGTGGTTGGGTGATAATATTGAATTAGCCTTTTATAGTGTAAATTATAATATTTGTCGAAATTTTAATTATGGATTCGAACCTTACATGCTAATGGTGCTTCATTTTTTTATTTGCATTTACTTCAAAGAAAATACACGCAAAAATCTTAATCACGCAGTAAAAAACACAACAAATATATGTATAACTAATACGAAAAATTATACCCAAAACAAACAAATAATACTACCTATAAATAACCTAATAAGTAATAATATTATCGACTCATATGACGTGGCGTATGCGTCGGTCGACGCTCTAACGACACGGGCTTCGCGTCGAAGAGCTCAGCGCTCACTGACTTTAGCAAGCCAGTGAGCAGTAAATATGCCCAGATTTTAAAATAATTTCTTAATAAAATCAAATTTTGGTCTTTTGAAAAAAAATTTACTATAGAAATGTTTATTAATAAATTGCCTATCCATTGGTGTAAATCGCAAAATAAAATAATACTTACTTTACGAGGAGATGCATGTTATCAATAATAATTTCACATTTATGTGGTTTCGTTGTAAGGAGATTATATTAATATTTATTCCTTTAAAAAAAAATTGGATATAGCTTTTATGGAATCAAGATTATGTAGAAATATAATGTGTTTTTATTTGTTGATATATCTTTTAAATAAAAAGTAGATAGCTCCTAAAAACCGCCCAAATAACGACTAGCGCGACATTTTGCTCAACCTGCGCCTTAAATTAATGTTGATATTTTTTAATAACTGGCTTTACGACTCTAGGTTCTAGCCCTTCTGAGCCTGAAGTTACAATGTATAACCTTCGGCGTACAAGGTGAAAAATACTCCTCACCTGTACCATTGGGGTTAAAATTACCCCATAAAACTTAGCCTCTAGTTTGTGTGTAAATGAAGTTTAATAAGTTTATGTGCGTTTTTTAGGTATTTATAATAATAAGTGAATAAAAAATAAACAAAAATGTATAAAAATAGACATATATTAAGAAAAAGTTACAATCGAAGAACTTCTCCATAAAATCAACGAATTTCCAATTAGGTAGTATAAAACAATAAGAAAAATATTTTTGAATCAAAAACGTAATTATTTTGCTTATTATTTAAAACAATAGAACTGTTTTAACATATAAGTATAACTAAGAGAGATCGTTCGTTACCTAAATCA